TTTCCCATTTTTGTTTCACCGAGTTAATAATATTTATATTTTTGCCATTCTGCCACCGATTAATTTATGCAAGATTTAATCAATTAATCGATGTTAGAATGGAACTGGTAGTGCGAAGAGGGAAGGGGGGAGGAAGGAAGGAAAGAATGTACGGTGGAGGAACGTTGAAGATACGTTTAGTTTTAACCTAATTTCAACGTACAATCTGGAAAAAATGGAAAAAGAGACGGTATTTACGTCGAAAGTAGGTTGAATCGGTGCATCAACGTCCTAAACCCACCAGTCGAGCTTGAAACTACGTTAGGAGACCCGGTAAAATTTCGACTCGGGAAGGCACCGTCGTATATGAATGCTCCGACTCTTGAGCCAAACATTTCGTTATTGTTGAAAGCGGAGCAATTATTCATGTTTGAGACTTTCAAATTCGAACCAAACAATTATTTCTTTAGTCATTTTCAACTAACGATTTTGTTGGCGTAGAGAAAACTTATTTGAGAACTTGTTCATTTATCTCTCAGTGTATCGTTCCACGTTACATCATGAATCATAGATCGGTATCAATCATTAATTTAGTCATATTATGAGAGGCTGCACCTTGATATAATTAAAATTTACTTATCTTCATTGAAATTTGAAAAATAATATAATAATTGGTAATTTAAGTTTCTCAATTATTGGTTGATAAAATAATTCGGAATTTGAATATTTAAATTGACTTTGAAGCAATTGACTTATTCAAAATTCAACTGTAATTAAACATTATGATTATACCGATATCTGTAATGAATGTATCACATATCGAAACATTAGAAGTGCATGAAAAAAATCATGAAAATAAATACTTGACGATTGGCGCTTCTTCTACACGATTTGAGTGAGTTCATTTGCGACAAAATTACGCTTAAGTGCAAGAATATTTTAAAACATGAGACCTTTCTCAGGCCACGTAACTTGAGATGCCTCTAAGAAAAATTACTTGTCTCAAGTAAATATGTTTAAAATATTAGAAATATTTTTATGTCATAGGTGCCCAGAATCACGCGATTCTAACCTCGCTTCGCTCGGTAGAATCGCGGATTCTGGGCCCTATGACATAAAATAGTATACGAAACTCGTGCGTAATGGTGTTTTTTGACTCGTGGGATTGTAAAAGTCGCCTTCGGCTCGTTTTACAACTTCCCACGAGCCAAAAAAACAATTACGCACTTGTTGCGTAATATACTATTCTCACTGGAATTGAAGAAAATTTCTACAACAAAAATCGCTCCGTTTGGGCTCCACTAGCCATTAGAATGTTGCCATGTTTTCCTGTTTATGGTTTTGTAGTTGAATTCTTTTCAATTTCTTCGAGGTCAGTAAACCGAATGTAGTTTTACACGAAATACCACGCGTAACATTCACTTAGCGCGAGTCAAGGAATAACGAAGGTGTTCAAAACTTTAGTCATATAATTCTCCTTTCACCCCGGCAACAGCCTAGTACTTTTCACTCACTTTGATTTTACTCGCCTGCACGTACGTAATGGAGTTGCTAAACATCATTCATGTGCGATTTTGCGACAGGTTACGAATTTTATTTATCGAAGGAAACAATGTTGACATTTTGTTAAGGCACAATCGGAATTCGTGACAGTTCATTCCAGCCTTTTCATCCTCGGATATTTTTTTCCATTCACATGGAGAAAAAAAAAGTTGGAGAAAAATTACCCAACAAGTCAAGTAGTCATGAAGCGGAGAAATGTGAGACGAATGGTAAAGTTTTCTACGCTGACGCGGGAAAATTTAGTAAAGGTGAGGATAATTTGAGCCGAAATTGAAAAATTTATGATTTATTCCATCAAAAATTATCCCATGAACGTGAATAATTGCTCGATATTGCGTAATCGTTCACATACATGCAGGAATTTTTCTGCTACGGAGAAAATTCCCGCACATATGTAGAAAAAAAATCTTAGGGCAAGAAATTTTATACTTGTCCGAAAGAGGAGGACAATGGGTTCATATGAAGAAAACGAGTAGAGGAGGGTAGGGCTGAATGGACCGTAGAGCATAACGGACCACTAACAGAAAATCGATTTTTTTTTCTTTCATCCAAATCAGGAACACTGAATGTGATGAATCAAAAGTGAGAAAACAAGTGTCGTTGAACCGCAATTTGCTAATCACCTCAAACCACAAAACACTTCGAATTTACTCAATTCGGAAGCAAAAACAAAAATTATCAATTTTCTGTCAGTGGTCGGGTTTGCCCTAGGGGTCTGTTTTGCCCTACCCTCCCCTACTCAAATCAATTCAAGTGGTTTTTGCATTAAAATATTTTAGAATTGAGGCTAAAAAGCTGTTGAATGAATTAACTTATTATTCAATGAATTGGTTTGAGAAATCGCTTTGTCATCAAGAAATTGTCCTCGTCTTTAAGACAAGTACAAAATTTCTTGACAAAAGTTTTTTTTTTTCATAGTACAAGATGTTTTGTTCTTGAACATTTTTAAATCACGAGTTTCTTGAGATAAGTAAAGACGTACTTCTAAAAAAACTGCGTTTTTCTCAGGGCAGGGTACGGTAAACATGCGTTTTCGGAGGGGTTCGGTGTAAAGGTTAATTTTAAATACCATTCTTATCACCAGAAGTCGATTTTGATTTTTATCATACAGAAAAATGATGAGGATGAAATGGGTCCTGGATGAACTGTTCCAGGATGAAAAAGTTCGGGGATGGACGGTGTCCTTATAGACTGAAAAAGGGACAAGAAAGAGCGGAAAAACTTGAAGCACTAAAGACCGCGGTAAAATGAGAATATTTAATAAACTCCTCATTTGAAATTCTAATTCCTCATTCAGGGAATGTAACTCAATCGGAAATTCAGCGCCACCCTTCTGCAGTAAAAATTTGTAATACTGCAGAACCCAACGCAATATTCATCAAAGTAATTGATTTATTTTTCTCCGAATGACAATAAAATGAACGATAAATAACCCACAAAAATTCAAATATTACAATACAAAAGTGATGTAACTGCCTCGAAAAATTGTGAACGACGTTGTTAGGTCATAATATTCGTCATAATTTTGTTATTTAATGTGGATAATAAAAGGTAATAATACAGTGAAAAATGGAAAAGTGGTCCTCGTGAAAGTGAATGAACCTGTGAATGTTTTCTCGCGATGAAAAAAATCTGGGAAGAATGGGCATGGAACAAAACTTGAAAGTGAAACGTGATCTCACGATTTTCGTAGTTCATTGGAGGATAAAAAGTAGTCAAAACGGGATAAGGAATGAAAATATTTCGTTTTGTATTTCATACCAATTAAAATGTAATTGGATCTATTCGTGGAGCTCGACCCATTTCACATTTTTTGGATTGAATGATTCGAGTCACCATTCAAAATTTTCATGCTCGTCACATAAAAAAACATAACTTTCTCGAACTGTCAATATGAAAACGAGTGACTGAAACTAAGTCGAATCATGAGTGAGAATGTAGAGAATTGGTTTTTAAGGAGTTTCGTGTGTAGATCACCGGGGGGTGAAACGGAAGGGGAGTCTTATTGTTCTTGCGCCCTGATTCAATCGCTGAGCACGAAATTTTCCTATTTTCAAGTAATTATTCAAGTGTGTATTTGAATATTTTTTGAATATTGATTTTATTGATCAGATTGGTTGATTTCTTTCTCATCACCTACGGTTGTCAAACAATTTTTATTGGATGTTTTTCTAATTATTGAAATGATATTAAAATGCGTCTCGAGTTGGTAACCCTGTCAAGTGTTTTCTCTCTCTGAGTTCCACGGTCCAACCCATACCTTTCCCATGATGCTCAATGACATTTGAATCACGCGCCTGCGCGTGAAGGCGTAATTGCCCCGGAATTCATAATTTTCCGAATCATTTGTTCAAATAACTTTCTTATGAAATCTGAAAAAAAATCTGAAACTTATACATGTTCTCAAGAAAAATTTGTTTTATCGCCCACTAGTTTTTCCTCAATAGTTCATTACTTTTTTGGGTGCCATGGAAATTTCCTAATTAAGAGTGGGGTAACCTCGGAGGTTATAGCTGGAGGGGTTACAAAAACATCCAAATTTTATTATTTGTCTTCTTGAGACTGAGATCTGAAAAAAATGTGCAAAAATTCTCAATGATGCAGCATACTCAGACACTTCTGCCATGAATTTTCCAATATTTTTTCATTATTTTGACTTTTCACACGAAACACCTTAGTTTGATTTTACATTGGCAAAGCTCAGAGATCAAGAACGTTTTCAATGTTTTTCTTAAATTTGTAAGGTTTCGAAAAAGTCTACAGGGTTCGGCTGAAATACGAAAATTCGACTGGGTTGTTGGTCGCGAGCTTCGCTCGCTCATCCCATTGCGGGTGGAGTGGAGTAGGTGTGACCCATTACGGGTCGAACCAATAATTTCCCGACCAATTGCCTTTCCTTCATTCATTAGAATTAGATTTTTCTATACAAATTATTCTATTGAGATATTTTCCATTGAATTTCCTTGGCTCAAATTTTCTAAGTTATTGTATTTCATTTTTTTGAAGAAAAAATCAGAAAATAGAATGAAAAAAAATAATAATGGAAAAAATTGACCTATATTGAAAAATCTTTGAAAATTTTCAAATTTCAAAAATTCATGTTCGAATTACTCCGAAACCGCTGAGACGATTTTGCTGGAATTTCACTCCAATCTTAACCATACAAAGTTGCATCAATTATGATGACAAGAAATCAATCTCATCGTTTCTCTGAGAGGAATCATCAAATTTGTAAAAAAAAATGTCGGGAGAGTTTCTAGGGGTCATGACACGTGGAGAAATCATGAAATTTCTACAATCGATTTTCGGAGTCATTACAATAACTTCCTTCGGGTCGGGAAATTAAAAATAAAACACAAAGAAAAAAAACATCTTCAAGTGACGTTCATCAATATTTCAATCCTGAGCGAGTTCCCAACGAATCACACAAAAGAAATGACATAATTTCCTCAATTTACCTGTATGCATCCTCCGAAACATTGATTTTCCCCGGCTCCCCGGTCGTTTCAGTTCTGCTCGTGAGATTGACCGTGTTACCAAAGAGGCAATAGCGTGGCATACGATGTCCAATAACCCCCGTAACAACTTCACCACTGTGAATACCGATGGTGATTTTCTAGGAATCAATCAGTCAGTTGCAGTAAAGATCGATTTTTTTCCACCTTTCCATTTTCCCAAAGCCCCAGTGACTCGTTATGACCGGGAGGCAGTAAAAAAATATATATTCTCAGAAAAAAAAGGTAAACGAGCACACACTGGAGGCGTGGGAAATGGGGGAGAGTGTGTGCCTGATCGGTCAGATGAGTTATTCAGTGTTGGCATAATACGTACCACTGGCTCACCGTCTATTTGTACAGCATCAGCAGCTAGATCCATCATATCGAGGGCAAGTCGTGCTATGCATCTAGCATGACTCCTGCAGGGCTCGGGCAATCCACTGACTGCCATGTACTTGTCACCGACAGTCTCCACCTGCATCAAACAGTATCAGTTATTAATTTATTCATCGATTTATACAGTCAACTGCCTGCAGTCAACAGTTCATTTTTCATCAGCTCTGTTGCCGCACGTTAGCGCTACTCCTGAGTTACAATTAATTTCACTCTGGGTATTTTCAAGTTTGGATGATTTGGTTGGATAACACTGATATTTTAAGTAGGGGAGAGTAGGGTAAAATGAAACAGTCGGAAAACGACTGTTTGACCCAATTCAAGCTCAAAAAATTTTGTTTATTGAATTTTTTCTTTATTAACGTTTGTTTATCAACTTTTTTTTTTATTCTTGACAGTATTGATGGAAATATTAACTTTCCATTCAGTAGATTGGAAGATTATTGAGAACTTTTGACGGGAGAATATTTTGTCAATAGGTTAATTGAAAAGAAAATAAAAAAAAATTAAAAAGAAAATATGCGAAAAAAATATAATATGGGCCAATTCTATATATTTTTCAAATTTATGAAGAATATATAAAAAATATATATAAACCATATATTTGATATTTTTTTGTATAAATTCGACCAATTTAAGATATTTTTAAATAAATTTTTCAAAATATAAATTTTTTTGTGTGGGAGAGCAAGGCCTAGGAGGGGAGACCCAGAGGGGAAAAATGGAAAATGTGGTGCTCAATTTCAATTGAATAAAAAAAGAAAAGTGTTTTCGCGCTAATCTCATTTTTGAATTACAGAGATTTTTTTTTCAATTTTTGAAAAAATGTGCGCAATAACAATTACGAGCTAATTTTTTAAAATTCGAGTTCTACGCAGGTAACTTCATTTTTTGTTATATTAAAAAAATGGACCATTCATGTAAAATAGCCAGAAAAATGTTTCTGAAAGAATCGAAAATATCTTTTAAATATTTTGAGGATCACTTTTCTGGCTATTTTGCATGAATGGTGCACTTTTTTATATAAAAAAACGTAATTAGCTGTTCAACTCGTAATTGCTATTGTAAACTTTTTTTTCAAACATTTTCAAAAAAAAAACCTCTGTAGCTCAAAAATTGGAGGCCCTGGACTATTTTTAACACTTCAAGCGTCTGCGGGGCAATGAATAATGAATAATCAATTTTTGTATACCAATTACGCGTTTTTAGACATGTATAATCGATCGTCAATGTATGATAAATCTCATTCCAATAGCCCGTGAATTTAAAAACTCATAGTAGTCTCCCCTTAATGAGAATTCGCAGATGTTTATAATGAGTTGAATTGTTAATTAGTTATTCATTTACCCTGATCACAATTCAACAGTTTAATAGATTATTTTTTTACGATAATAGAAATCATTAAACGATGAAGCATTGATACAATTAGTTTATTTATAATTGAATATAATTGAAATTGACATATTTTAGCATATTTTGTTTGTGTTTATTCTTCATGAAAATAAATGGGGTTCGATTTTAAAAATTGACTTTGAGTTAACGTTCATTAACCCTCTACGGGGAACCTCCTGGGCATTCCTGGAAATCAAGAATATGTTCCCGAAAATAATTGTTTTTCCCTGCGTTTGGTATAAATAACAATTCCAGTCCACAGACTCAGAAAATATTTATAAATTGATTAGTTTAAATAACAATTTTAAATGATTACTACATTTTTGATAAAATAGACGAATATCTCATTTGAAACGAAACAAATTTCTAGATGTTATTCCAACGTAGGAAGTAATTAAATCAATGGATCAGAAAATTTTCAATATGACGATGTTGTTTTCTTCGAAAGCCGACAGCCTGTTATTACCTTGTAAACGTTTGGATTTTTCTTGGGATCCGTGAGAACGTCGAAAGCTATGTAAAGCTGATTGAGCATATTGACGATCTTCATGGCGCCACTCGAGTCCGTATTAGCAGCGCAATATGCACCGAAACCTACGATACCGGAGAACAGTAGTGTTACGCAATCGTATTTTTTTGCTGGCACGGGTCTCGAGTGTCGCAGCTCACTTGCCACTGATATTGGCAGTACTGAGTACAGCAATCTGTTGAAAGTTGAGGAATTTGAATCAATGGGTTTTTAAGCATGACGGAGGAAAGTTTCAAGTGAATGATGGAAAGGAACAATCGATGTGAGTATTCAGGTGGAGAAATGAGAAAGTCTCACCATTTTTTGTTCTGGTCTGACACTTGTCTGGGGATTCGTGGAGAATTTTAAGTGATGAGTGACAAAAAAGCGAAAGAATTGTTAATTTTCAGTAGACCGAGGACTTCATTTGCATTTGGTTTTCTATGAATTTTTTTCGTGTCTGCTTGCCTTCGAAAATATTTAAAAAATGTGACGCGAGCCACAAACGAATTATTATTTCGAAATTCATATAACGCGTCTCGAATATTCTATATCGTCGTACACGCAAAAGAAAAATTACTTTTGATCAGTAGAAAATGTACTTGTACCCAGTACCAAGGGGTTTCTGGGGAAAAGGCACATTTTTGTACTTCCTCGAAGTGACAAAACAACTTGATGCAAATATCATGCGTCAAGTACCTGTGTACTGGTGAGAAGTACCTCAGTACTTGTCACGAGTACTTTGTTACTTGGAACAAGTAACAAAATTATTTGTACTGAGTACCTGGCTGGTTCTTTTCAAAAGTACTAAATGAACTCAATATAAGTTGAGTATAAGAACTCAAAAATGTTTTTTTTCTACCTCTTCTAAAAACCAAATTTCGTCAAAAATTCAAAAATCCAAATAATTCCCGTTTTGTGAGTAATAAAATTGAAAAGAAATTTAAAATAATTTTTCGAAGCCTTTTAAATATTGATAACAACATAAAACATAAAAATTTCAACAAAATTGAAATTTTGTAGATTGGAAAGCATACCAATAATTCACGAAAGCATCCATAAAAATTGCAATCTATTGATTTTTTCCTACAAAATATCTTCTGTTGAACATTTCTATTTATAAAAATGCGTAAAAAGGCCCATTCTATGTGGTAATAATATTCACTTTTTTCAATAAAGTAATCAAATGGAAGTACTGCAATTAAGTCCTAAAAGAACTTGAGAGAAGTTGAAAAATTACTTTTCACTAGTACCTTTGGTACTCGTGAAAAGTACTAAAACTACTGGCAGTAAGTAGTGATACTACTTCCTCCCCGTACCATTTCTACTCGATCGGCAGATGTGGTACTTCACCGAAGGACACAAAATGTACTTGGGACGAGTATTTTTAGAACTTTTCCAAAGTGAACTTCCCACAAGTACCGGTTTGGACTGGTGAGAAGAAATTTTATTTTTGGGTGTATTCGAGACAAACATCATTCTATCCTTGTCCCTCACGAAATTTCTGGACGATTCTCGAAACTTCCATAACAAAAGGTATTTAAACCCGCACGCTCCCGACCAAATATATCAGTTGAACTCAGTCCGATTTTCAAACTCGATGTAAACACATCTAACATGATAAATACAACACCTTTATTCTGCTAAACCACGAGTTATTATTCTACAAAATACACCTAATCGCCACAAAAATAANGACAAAACAACTTGATGCAAATATCATGCGTCAAGTACCTGTGTACTGGTGAGAAGTACCTCAGTACTTGTCACGAGTACTTTGTTACTTGGAACAAGTAACAAAATTATTTGTACTGAGTACCTGGCTGGTTCTTTTCAAAAGTACTAAATGAACTCAATATAAGTTGAGTATAAGAACTCAAAAATGTTTTTTTTCTACCTCTTCTAAAAACCAAATTTCGTCAAAAATTCAAAAATCCAAATAATTCCCGTTTTGTGAGTAATAAAATTGAAAAGAAATTTAAAATAATTTTTCGAAGCCTTTTAAATATTGATAACAACATAAAACATAAAAATTTCAACAAAATTGAAATTTTGTAGATTGGAAAGCATACCAATAATTCACGAAAGCATCCATAAAAATTGCAATCTATTGATTTTTTCCTACAAAATATCTTCTGTTGAACATTTCTATTTATAAAAATGCGTAAAAAGGCCCATTCTATGTGGTAATAATATTCACTTTTTTCAATAAAGTAATCAAATGGAAGTACTGCAATTAAGTCCTAAAAGAACTTGAGAGAAGTTGAAAAATTACTTTTCACTAGTACCTTTGGTACTCGTGAAAAGTACTAAAACTACTGGCAGTAAGTAGTGATACTACTTCCTCCCCGTACCATTTCTACTCGATCGGCAGATGTGGTACTTCACCGAAGGACACAAAATGTACTTGGGACGAGTATTTTTAGAACTTTTCCAAAGTGAACTTCCCACAAGTACCGGTTTGGACTGGTGAGAAGAAATTTTATTTTTGGGTGTATTCGAGACAAACATCATTCTATCCTTGTCCCTCACGAAATTTCTGGACGATTCTCGAAACTTCCATAACAAAAGGTATTTAAACCCGCACGCTCCCGACCAAATATATCAGTTGAACTCAGTCCGATTTTCAAACTCGATGTAAACACATCTAACATGATAAATACAACACCTTTATTCTGCTAAACCACGAGTTATTATTCTACAAAATACACCTAATCGCCACAAAAATAATCTGGACCCGCGTTTTCAGTCACCACCAGACAGTTTTCCATTACATTTTATTCAATTGACCAAAAATATTGCCCTAAATTCAACGAAAAATCAATTCACATAAAATGTACCCGATACAAATAAAATAAGAATTGTTAGCGCATATTCTTCCTATCAAAAGTCCATTTGATTCAAATAAATCTTCTGGCCGACTTCACTGAAGTTGAATTCAATTTTCTATGACCCATTACATGAAGCTCGAATGAAACAGGAAGAAAGACAGATGGAGAAAGCATCTGTCACTCTTCTCCACTCCGTCCATATTACCAGCTGTAGCGAATCAACCAGTGGAGGAAACTCAATTCTCTCCCAGCACTCGTGTAATCAGGAATTTCCTGCTGAAGATAGTGTCATACTCTCCACCTTCTCCCTTCCATTTATCCATTAGAAATATGTAGCAAGAAAATTGGCACATATCCCAGGTATTTACCTGTCAGTTTTTTGCTTCTCTCCGTCCAATTCCCGGTAAGTCTGTTGCAGTTTATCAGTGAGTAACTCAAGATTTCTGGTAAGTTTGTAATCAGCCTCAAATTGTTCAGACATTAAAACTAGATCCCGCGTTGCATCGTGAAGTGGCACATCACTCAGGTAGAGACCGCGTCTATCAAAAACAATAGATTTAATTTAACTTTGTCATCCAATTTACATTTTCCCCATTTACGTAATATTTATTAGGGGAGGTGGTGCATGTACCGCCCACCTTCAGAAAATGAATCTCTTTTTCCAGTCTTGCGCTCTACAAGGAGTCATAAATGAATAAAATGGGTTGTTCGAGGTGTTTACTCGAAGATGTGAAGATGACAAATATTTTTATTAACATTAAACATATTTAATTTTGTAATTCAACTGCCATCAGCCAGTGAGCGATGGAATCGAACTTTGAGGGTAATACTGCCCGGCATACGTCCAATACCGCCCATCTTGTTTTGATGAATTTTTTGAGCAATGCAGACCAACTGTTATAATTTTTCCTATTTTCATCCTTCGTTCCCATTCTTTGGCTCCATTGTGAGAAAGATTTCACGTGAATGACAATAAATTATCATGAATTAACCCGATGTCCCGATGTTCCACCGATTACCCCAAACAATCGAGCTGTCACTCGACAGCCCTCTAACTGCAGAGTCTAGCAGCCCTATAGAAACCCTGGGCGGCATTACCTGCAAACTCTGGGCAGAATTATCCACAAACGCGGGGGCTGATAAAATAACCAATGATAACGGATGAAGATATTCTTTTGCTATCGAAAAGGTCGCAATGGATGTGGAAATGTATAATGAATATATATTGCGCACTCAACCAACTGTAATGGTTAGGTGGGTGAGCTGTTGCTCCGGCGGACATCCAAGCTAAGCAGCGTTGAGCTGGGTTAGTACTTGGATGGGTGACCGCTTGGGAGCACTTCGCTCGCACAAAAAATGCGGGGGGTAGGTACGGTGTAGCGGCCTAGTGTCTCCATCTAGTCACTGTGACAGATAGATATATTAGGGCACTGCACAATCGGCCAGCTGTGCGACTGGGGTTTTATATGGTTTCCCGTGCAGTCCTAACTCGAATGGGGCAGAGCTAAGAGTAAGACGGCCATGATACCGCAGATGACAATGAGAGGAAAAGAAAGGAGGGGAGGCAGGCTAGAGCCGGGGTTTCAAATCGAGAATTACTTCGATAAAACCAATGAAATAGAAATATATATATATATATATAAATATATATATATTGCGCACTCCATTCAATTATTACCCAACTGGAAATTTGAAAAATCTTAAATTCTGGGGTTGAAATATTTTAAGAATTCGGTAGAAAATTATTTGAAATTTTTTTTACGATGTCTCCACGGTGGACAATTGAAAATTTCTGTTGAAATTACTCATTATCAAATATTTATGTAATAAAAAAAAATTCTAGCCAATCCTGAGAAATGAGAGTGGGCGGTATTACCCGCTGGGCGGTACAGACACCAGCTCCCCTACACTCAAACACATTGAAACTGTTCATCTATTATGCCAAAATAAGTACCAAACATACAGAAGAATATGTATTGGGTAGATTTTACGATAGAAAACAGGTCGAGAATAGGTCCCAGAGGCAAAAATAATCGATAAAATAACGATGTGTGACTTCGTAGAAAAAAACATTTTTAGATGAATTGCTCTATATCAGGATAGAATGAATCGATCGACACAAAATTTTATACACAATTGCGACTCAATAATACTAAGTAGTCAGAATCTCAGATGTTTATTCCAAGTTTTACGCGTATTCATATTTTCATTGATCTTGATAAGGGCGGCAAGACGAGCTTTTTGAAACAAAAAAAAATTGATCGGACCCGTAGTTAGGGAGATTGAATAAAACAGTTTTTAACAAAAAGTTGAATATCTTCTAAACCACTTGTCCGATTTCGCCTATGCAGAATCCCACCCTGTGATATCATAAAAGCTACAATCTCACTAAATTTCAATATCCTATCGAAATTTTTCGGGAGTTATCCCAGGTGCGGGATTCCAAGCTTGAACAATGGGATCCAGCTTGGTTCAATCTAGGATACCCAGCCTTGGGATTCCTAGCTTTGATCAAGTTTGAACCTGTGGTTATACCTAGGTAAACCCAAACTTGGCGATATCCTGGGAATAAAAGCTTGGGTGCTAAGGTCGCTCCAATCCTGGTCCAAGCTTGGTACTCCAAGCTTGAACTCAGGGGCTTGAACCAAGCTTGAACCTATGATGATACCTAGGTAAAACCAAGCTTGGTGATATCCTGCGAATCAAATCTTGGGTGCCAAAGTAGTCCCAATCATGGTCCAAGCTTGGTATTCCAAGCTTGAACTTAGGGGATTGAACCAAGCTTGAACCTGTGGTGATACCTAGGTAAAACCAAGCTTGGTGATAGTCTGCGAATCAAAGCTTGGGTACCAAGGTAGTCCCAATCATGGTCCAAGCTTGATATTCCGAGCTTGAGCTCAGGAGTTCAACCAAGCTTGGCCCAATATTTTGGGGTCAAGAGGGTGAGGAGGAGGGGGGGGGGTAAATAGGATGATAAGATGAAAGGGAGCGATGAAAAGCATCACTATCAAGTATGCACAGAAATTTTTTTTTTACCACGCTATCCCATTTTACCCCACTGTCTCACTCACTCACCATTCGGTGAACCGGACTATCCCATTTTACTCCTCTCTCCAATTCACCCCGGTATTCCATTTTACCCCACTGTCTGAGTGACCTGTTATCCTGTTTTACCTCATGGTTCAACACCCTGCTCATTATTATCCTACAAATCACGAACCCGAGTAAGGTTAGACTTATGTAACTTTAGTGGATCATCCGATGTGAAATTTGTTTTTCGAGGCGTTTGAGAATTTCCACCTTATTTGAGGACATTATGTGGGCCAAAATATAATTTTACAAGAAACTATATATATGAGAGAAGCCCCACGAAGACTATTTTTTAATTTTAAAACTTTCCAAACTCAGTAGTGTATCCGCTTAAACTGAAAATTAGTGAATGGAAAATTTAATAATTTTCAGTGTATCAGGGTGATGCACGGGATGCAGCGATAGTGGGTGGGAATATTGAATCATCGTACGAATCACTTTAGTCTCATTGAGTTACGTATGACATTGCACCAAAGCAACAGGCAACTGTAATAGGCGCTCGCATATCAAGGGCGTGCGATGCATTCAGGATTCAATTTGTTTGTCAACGCTCGCTCGGTACATTTCGATCTTTGCTCCACTTTTCCAGCTACGCTGTTGACAAAACGGAATTGTGTAAGCAGTCTACTCGAAATTTTCGGAAGAATGATATTGAATTCAGTTTATGGATAGGGCGCTGAAATTTCGAATATCCCTGGCGGAAATCATAAGAGGCTCTGCGACATGGGCTGTTGCAGTGACGTTCACGCCCGAACTGTGTTGCCGTATGCCGTAGCCGTGAGATGTACGATACCCAAAAGATATCGATATTTGATATCGAATTGAATTGGATTGCCTAATATCGATACCGGAAAATATCGCCATAGCAAATATCGATACTTTTTTTAATACCAATGGCACATTAAAAATATATTGTCAGTTGAAAAATAGTACATTTCGATACAAGTGCAGAAAAGTGTGGCTCCCACAAGTCAAAAAAACTTTTCCCATGAGTATCGAACGAGGGGCCCCTCACTCCATAATTGAGTGACACCATGATTCCGAAATGAAGTCGATTTCGGGTGATTTCAGCGGTGATTTTAGTGATTTCGGAAAAAATGATTACGGTGATTTCGAGCGTCGCGGGAGCTCATTTCATGATTTCGAATGATTTCATAATTCCAAATCAGTAATTTCAGAAACATAAAGTGAATAAATAATAGAGATGGGGTAAAACGGCTTGCGTCAAATTATGAAAATCAGAACTGGCAAATGATAACGAATTCATTTGATTTTACACAGAGAGAAACGTTCAGTAAAAATTACGGAACACTCCGGAAAAATTCCGTGACAGTTCCGTAAAATTTCCTACAACCACATTTCGCTCCAGAATTACGGAAAAGAGACGTAATTTTTATTGAATATTTCTCTCCGTGTACTCCGTCAATCTTGAACTAATGACGATGAAAAGCGGTCCATTTTATCATTTTACATTTCATTGATTTCACGTGATTTCAGAATGATTTCATGCCAGAGTGGCGTCGTGATTTCGGGAGTGAGTGGCCGTTCGGTATCGAATGATATTTTTCATCACAATGTGTGAAAAGTGGAAATTCGCACACGCAGAGCGCGCGTAAAATTTCACTTTAGGTATTAGTGACGAAAATAGTAGATTTCGTCATTAGGCCGAAAAAAACTTTTCTGGCGAATATGAGGTTTGCAGCACAAGCCGAAGGCGAGGACTGCAATCATATTCGTCAGAAAAGTTTTTTTTGACCGTATGACGAACAATATTTTTTGTCATGACGACCGTAGGCAGAGATTCACGGAAGCTCCGCTTCGCTCCGCGTCCGTGAAACGCTGTCTTACGGCCGGAATGACAAAAAAAAAGAAATGAATGGATTCAAATGCAAATGGAGGTTCTATGGAACAAGTATTAAATTTGGATTTAGTAGGAGATTTGGGGGTAAAATAGACTGTTGGGGAAAAATAAATAATTGCCAAAATTTTAGATTTTCGCAATTTTTCAATTTTTGTTTTTCGTCATTTAAATAATAGACTAGGCATACCATGCCATGTGGGTATGTTGCTGCTGGAGCCCTGTGTGACATTGACGCGGTGAACTCCCAATTCTTCATTTTATCAACATTAATAATTAACAGTTAGTTGAGAGCAATTATTAGTCACTAGAAAATCGTTGAGCCTTCATTAATTGATTTGAATCAATGCGAATAATATGAATATTGTGAATCATCGATTCACAGGATTTGAGGTTAGGGCGGACACAAATACGTCAGTCTCGCGTGAGCGTCACATAGCATTGTCCCAGCGACCGCACTGGATAACATTCTGGGGTACTTGACGAGGTACACGCAGCATTAGATTTCTACTAGTTCAGGTGGAATTTAACCCCAAGTCGCCACATACGGTCCTGCGCTTTTGGTCAAACCCATGGGGATTTGCCGCCGTG